TTCCAGAGTACTTGCAGATGCAGAGCTCTTAGCATTACCAGTCAGAAGACATTGTACTGCTATTCCCTCTTCACAGCTGTTTTTCTGGAAAGGAAAAGATGGAAGAAACTGTAGGAAAACACAACACGGTTAAAAGAAAATACCATTTCAACCAGCCATACTATTTCATGAGTGAGTCTGGGTGATCATGCACCTCATCTGGAAGCGACCCTTGTCTCAATTTGGTGGGCTTAATATTTGTGAGATAGTTTCCCTAAATTTGATATTCTGCATGGGGAGAAATAAAGACAATGTCTGATCCACAAACTTATAGTAAGTTGTTATAGCACTGGAAACTCTGTTAGGAAATTTGATTTTAAAATGTCACTTTTGAGGGTAGCTGCCCATTTTATTTGCTTGGGAAGAATGCAATTAAGCAATCTAAAAGACTGCAACAACTTTAAAGTACCTTTACAGACAGTGTAGTTTTACTGATGTATTAAAATTCTATTTGGAATCCCTCCTGGGAGAAACGAATCCTTTTAAACGCCCCACTGTGTGTGTTAATCAGCTCCTAGACTTGAAGGCTAGACTATGAACTCCTTATGCTGTCAAACAGTAGACAAGTTGTTCAGATATAAGGAAATACTCATTTAAATAATTGTTTTCAAGTGGATCACATTTGTATAGTAGTCTAGCTCTTTAACTTCCTGAACTGCTGCACAGAAGTTGAAATTTACATTTTTATTTTTTTGGCTTTAGACTAATCTACTCTGTTTGCATCCTCTGCCAGTTATTTACTCTGAGGTAGACCTGTTCTGAAACAGTGGGCTGTGGATGGTGATGAACACAGAATTTATTTATTTATCTATGTAAAACATTTCTATCCCGTCCTTCACGGCAACCTCTCAGGATGCCTTTCAAAGCTTAACATCAACAACAATAATAAAAGTACAATCGGTAATAAAATAGGTAATAATCTAATGCCTCTTTTACGAAACCTCATTCAGCTGGTACTGAGAACAGAAATGTAAAATAAAATATATTCCGAGGAGTTTCCCATAGTCCCAAAGAAGTCCCCTAAGACATGTCAGATCCAGCTGTTTAGGGGTCCTTGAGCAAAACTCCCTCCATGGGCTCCCTCCCTTTCTAATCATCATTTTCACTAGTTGCAATGGCTTCTGATGCACTCACTCAATGGCAGGTGGCAGGCTGGAGAGCAAGTCGACAGTGGCATCTACTGCTCCCGGATTTCGCCTTCACTGTTGGTGGGGCCAGAACAAGAGGCATGGGAACAAGAAGGCTGCAGTGGTGATGCAGAGGAACAAGTGCAGGGAGCTGTTGTCCATGGGCCCTTGCTGGGGTGTGAGTCCTTGGCAGGTGCCACTCAGGCCTACATTTTCAACTAGACCTGCCCTGAAATGGCTTTACCTGCTGTGTTTCTTAAGAATGAACTAGGCTCTTCGTTAGGAGATAGAAACAAAGAACTGATGCACATTGTCATAGTTACTCAACAAGCATTGCATTTGAGGTTGGAAGCTGGAAGAACTGACACTCTGCAGCCAAATTTTTTCTTCAGAGAATAGCATTTCTCCACATTTCTTCAAATCTTACCTTCAAATAACTCAAATTCTAATGGGTGTTGTGAGGAAAAAGAGTAGATTTTCAAGATTACAAAATCATAGCATGATCAAGGCCTTTCCCTCTGGTCTGAGGATGCATTGATTTCTGACAGCCACACCCTAGTAAAGACACACGAGCCAGAAAAGTTAGTCTTCTATTTTACTGTGTACTGTGTAGCATAACAAGCTTAAGACATCTCTTTATTCTGTTAAGGCCAGGTGGTTGCATAGTTCTTACAACAACAAAAACATCCTTCTGCATAGTGACGTTCCGGTGTCGGTTGCATAATGTCTGTAAGCTGCTTCCCATGGGATGTGCCACAGTACAGGGTAATACTCTATGCCAGTTCCTCGCATGGAGGCTGCCCATGTGACTGGGCATTCCAAATGGCTATGCTGATTGCACACAGTGTAGTTAGAAACACAGAAACAGAGCGAGACAGACGGGGTCTCCCGGGCCATCTAGTCTGACCCCCGGCTCCAGCCGGCTCCGCTCATGACATGCCCACCATGAGCATGTCCAGCCTGTCTTTGAATACCCTCACCGATGGGGCCTCAGCGACCTCTCGTGGAAGCCCATTCCACACCCTCGGGGTCCTCACTGTCAGGAAGTGCTTCCTGGCATCCAGCTGTCACAGTGCGGCATCCACAAGCTGGTCTGGATCAGCCCTTCCCAACCTAGTGCTCCAGATGTGTTGGAATGCAGTTCCCATAATTCTCAGTTCCTATGGTTCACTGTGCATGCTGACTAGGAATGCCCGGAATTACAATCCAACACATCTGGAGGGCACCAGGTTGGAGAGGGCTGGTGCTAATTGCACCAATGTAATAGGAAGCCACCTTGTAGTTACTTGGTCTTTCTTTGTGACACATAACTGGATTTATGTTACATGGATAAGCATGTCTCTTTGTGGGCTGATCCTCTCTCAGTTCTCGCTTGTGAGACCTCCTTTCTGTTTATTTCAAAGCCTAACATATGCATAATTGTGTAATTCATTATTCAGCTCAGTATGGTTTGATTTCCATATTAGCCATAGGCAGTGACAGAAATGCAAGACTACAGTACATAAAATGATGAGGATTATGACAATGGGCAAAGAGGTGGATCACCCAGATTAGTTCTTATTACAGCAGTCATGACAGCAATTCACAATTTGATTGAGATTCAGTCAAAGCTACATGAGATTTAGATAATGTTAAATATAAATTTGGTTTGAATAATAGTTGCTGCAATCGGTTAATGAACGAAAAACCTTAGTGGAAGATCTTACTAAGACATGGTTAAACATAGGTTAATGGCATCTGGTGGACTATATTTGGTTTATTGAATTAATAAAATAGAAAAGCCTTTGGCAAAAAGTAACCTATGAGTCACCATATTTAAAAATGGTTTGAAAGCAAAACTAGTTGGTTCCACAGGCTACAACCAAATATTGTGCACCTGTCATTTATTTTAGCAAGCTTTTTGGCATAAAACCTAATTGAACTGGAGGCTGTACAACTGCAGTGCTAGATGAATTCATTTATCTTTATTATTAACATTTATATACCTAAACAACAACAGGGAGACATTCCAATCCAAAATGAAAGTGATTAAAGTCACAACAGTGCCTGCTTTATGGTGTGCTCATGCGCGCATACACACAAAAGACAATTTTGTGAGTAGTCACTTGTTTTTTTTTGGTTAATATAAAAATATTGCCTTATTCACTAAAAACTCATTAAGGCAGTGTGCAGCAATTTAAAACCATAACATGATAAAAATATGAACATCGGCACTTAGAAACATCACAATTTAAAAGGCTAAGTTAAAAAATGTTTCTTCCTACCCTTTCTAAAATCCAAGAGAGTGGAAGCCAATCTTGAGAGGGGCATGTGGTGCATCTACAGTTTGGAGGCAGTGTGAGGGGTGACACTAAAAGGAAGCCCTTCAGTCCATAGGCAGTGGTCTTGAATAGAAGTGGTTGGTGTCCTTGGTGGAGTCCTGGTGATTTTGTGGCTCTGCCAGCACCAAAGGTTTAGGTTTCCCTACCGTGCTAGTTATGGTATGGTTTTCCATTTGTAGTGCTGCTACAAGCATGAAATAAGGAGTAGTCTTCCAACACTGATAAGCTAAAGACAGAGGTGGGATGATCCCAAGAATATTTAATTATTTGAAGCTGTTGCCTTGGAATTTGACACATGTGTTTAAGGATGGACAGGGTTAGCTCCCTAATTAATCCTTTGATGGCTGCTTAGTTTCTGGAGAGTTTTGCAACTCTTGCCAAGGGGAGGTGGGATGAAGATTCCTTAAGAGACATCAATCTAGTGTAAGTCAGCCCAGGTCATAGTGGAATACTTGGCCACAGGTGTGAGCATCACTGTTGCAAAGGACACACACCTCCTGTGTGGTAGAGACTTTAACTCAACTTGTCCTCAAGTATTAGTTTCTGTAAGAAATGGTGCTGGAGAAAGGATCATAGGACAGATTCTACCCTTTTAATTAGGCAAAACAAATGGCTTGGGAGAAGAACACCAAACTGACACTCTCCCTTGCGGTGCACATACCAACAGTTGTATACAACTGTCTGGAGTACAGGTAGGTATGGGGGTACTTGTAGTCTTGCAGATGCTTCAGCTTGGCTGTGCATCACCATGATTTGATAGTTTGATTTGCAAGTAATGCTAGATGCTGTAGATAGGGGTTCTTAAGCGTTCTTCAAGATGGTAGACCATAACCACATTCCTCTAAATTAATCCACAACTCTCAAGACTAGCTTTTATGTCAAAATCCCAAGTTGTTATGAGGGTCCTTAAACCAAGTAAGACTTTTGGGTACTTCTGCATGCAAACATGTTCCACTTTGAAGAATGTGGGTGGGATGGATGACAGAGATGCTATTGATGCCTCTCCTTACCTATAGCACCCCTCCCTTTACCTTCCCCAGATTGGTTTCAGGATTGCTTTTGCAACCCTGGTAAGAAGAGCTGCTGATGTGCTTTCTGCAACATTGGGGTGGTGACCCAGGGGAGATCTGTGATCAGACCTTCTCTGCACTCTGTTTGGGGGCAGGGGGGGCAGTGTTGACCCATATACTGTTTGGGGGCAGTGTTGACCCATATGCAGTATTACCCTTCTCATGTTAAAAAGAGAGAAGCCAGATGCAGCATAAAGACCTGAAACCACAACTTATTTTAGAAACAAACAAAACTGAAAGCATGGAATGCTCTAGGGCTGCTCTTCACTGAGAGTGATTTGAACATATAAGCTAGTGGGGGTTGTGGGGGAGGAGGATTCTGCTTCCTGCTTTGTACTATCTCTGTTAACCATAGCAGGTCTTGAACATTTTCTGCCGCAGTCGGATGGGCAAGTAGGATACAGAGACGTCTTCCATGCATTGCTCTGTGAGATGTGCAAACTTTGCTTTGGACAGTGTGAAGTGTGAAAACGTGAAGATGAAGCATATGACCTGCACTCCTTTCCTCCATCATGCCTGCATGACAAGCTCTTCTTTTGTCTTCTTTTCAAGTTCTGAACAGAATCTATTCATTTGAAAAGAATTCAGGTACTTGTGGCTACTGAGAGAAGAACTGAACTGTATGCTCAGAAAGCATGTGCTATCACATTCCTTCTGTTTAGCCATGTAGGTGCCCATAGCAAACACTCCCTTTGGGAGAGCTAGGAGGTTGGGGTGTGGGGGACTAGACTCAAATCTTTTGCCCACACCTTCCTCTTGATCCTGTGATTTTTCCAACCATGCTCAGAGGTGTGCAGCTTTAGAAGAACTGTACTGTTTGATCTTCTTGAAACATACAGATTGGATTGACTGTAGATTGCAGGGAGAACAGTCATTTTTAACATAGTCTTTTGCATCCACAAATTTCTCGCTTTTGCTCTAAGCATACCAAAAATGGACAAAGCTTTTTTCTTAAATGCAGAAATTCTGCACCGCCAAGTGCTCCAGCTGACGTAGTCTATGTGACCTTGTGGTTGGTCCTAATAGAGATATTGCTCTGTTAAAAATTTAAAGTTCTTTTTCTGTGGATCAGCATGGCTATCTGTACTTTTTCTGCATCATTTAAGCATATTACCTTCCCCGCTGTCATCATTTACTCCCCAGGTTATATAGGATTTGGCATGTATCACTCCTGTTAGTCTTGATAGGAGCTGCACGTGTGAGTCCTTCATGTGCACTCATATATAGCCTCTTTTTCCCCTGCAGGGAAACACAGGTTCTGAGTGACTGTTACAAGGGGAAAAACTAGCATGAAAGCACACTTGGGCCTTATCAATTGAATTCCTCAGAACAGACAGAAGTCACAACCATGCGCAGATGCGCCTCCTCATTGATCTGTATTACTGCATTTTCTTTAATGTGTGTGTGGTGACCACTGAGTGACCATTCCTAAAACGTAAAGAGTAATCTACACGAACGCACTTGCCAATCTTGCCTTCATATTTTTGTTCTTTTATCACATCTTTTTCCCCAAACCACCTTTCTGTGCTTTCCACGTAGTTCTTTTGCTAGTGCATGGCCAACCTTGCCCAGTTGGGAGTGGCCTTCACTTTTAGAATGAGCCTTACAGATTCTTTTTGCCAGCTCAAAATTCATGGTGGCCTTCCATTTTCTTACCATTGTCAATTGGGAGGAGGGGTTGTTTGGATATTCTGTTTTTTAGGCTTGATTTTAATGCTCAGCTACACACATGTGCAGTTGTGAATAATTTGTATGTTGTATTAAAGCCTTCATTGCAGCACAGCTGTGTAGAACTGGAAGGGAAGAAAATGCATTCCTGTTTGCAAATTTTTTACAAACCCATTCTTTATAGCAAAACAGACAAATAAGAAGAGGGGAACTTACGTTGGTTTCAACATCACTTGTGCTATTTGCTGCAGATTGTCTGCATGGAAAATAGGTGATACAAACATACTTCAGCCTGCAGAGTCTGGCAATCAGGGGATTCAGAGGACAAAGAATTATGCTCTGTATTAAAATGATCACTACAGAAAGCAATATGATTTTCCGTAATGGTAAAAACTTCATTTTTCAGTGTTGCTTTTATTTCAGCCTTGCAATCCTGTACTGCTGTGCAGCTGCAAATGCTTGCTATTTTTCAAAACTGATCTGGTGCATACGGTCATTTATCCCACAAATGTAGTATTATAACGCTGCTTGTGGTACTACATCGTATTATAAATAAAACTACCCTCAGCTCTCCTGCACTTTTTGCACTGTGGCAGAGCACTTACTTGCAAGATGAATATACGGGATTCAGTGTAAATCTGGATATAAATATAATAATATACCACTGTACTCCTCAACATGTGCCACAGAATATACTACAGAGTAGCAGTTGCATATAAAAAAATGCATTGTAACTGAATGCCTTTCATATGCAGAGCTTCTAGTTTAGACTGTATCTTAACTGCTTTCCTGTTGGCTGGGTATGTAGGAGAAGGTTACTACATATCCTGTATAAGGTATATGGCATTCTGAATCATACAGATTCAATAAATGTCACACAATCTCTAAAAGCTTCTACTCAAAATTATTCTGGAATATTTTTGGTATTCCTTTTCTCAAGAGGCTGTTCTACGGGGATCTGTAGTCTTTACTGCCTTTGAGACTTCCAACAATTAAATAAAAAAAGGATCTTGGGTTACATTCTCACTGAAATTTAAGCAGCAGTTGCATGCTCACGCTACACTCGGGTTACGCACTAGTTTTTGACACATGTACCCCTTCCCTCTTTGGAATTATACTAGAATTCTGCATGTATGGCGATGGCTTGTTTTGCCCTGCACACCTGAGCAAAAGTGCAAAGCAAAGCTGCTCATCAATGGAAGAGGATGACATGGGACAAATGTGTAGTTCTTCTGCTTTGCAGGTTGCCTCTTCCCTTGCTTGCATGTGTGGGATATTCTGCCCTGACAACCCTCATTTTTGAGGGGTTGGAATGTGGATGTTTTGTCAAAAGTCCAAATGCCTAATACCTCTTATGGTTGCAGCAGGGTCCTCAAGTTCCTGTATTGTGTTTTGCAAAGCAACTTTCTTCCATGTCCTTTCTTCAGGTCACCAGATTTCACTTCAGGCACTCCAGGTATGTGCAATGTGGTACACAGAGGTATCCTGAGGATTTGACGGTTATTCATTGATGTTTGGAGGCTGAGTTATGCCACACCAGTGGTGTATCTAGTCCTGCACCAGCTCTCCCAGTGTGGTTTCCCAAGCTGAGGAAGACTGCTCTTCCCTGGTGACATGGATGTGATAGTTATCAACTATTTTTAAGTGTTTCCTCCTATTAAAATCAATGGAGGAAAATTATTTGTGTCAGGTTTGATGTGGTGTAAAGTCACACCATTGACTTGTGTGTGGATTGGGAAGGGCCACGGCGTGCACTGCAGAAGGTTCAGTCCCCAGCGTCTGCTGCAGTGGCCGGAAAAGCTTTGCCTGGAATCCCGAAAAGCTGCTGCCAGTCCATGTCAAGAACAGAAGGACCAGTGCAATGATTCCGAATAAGGCAGCCTTGCGTGTTTCTATGTTCTTATGGAAGGGGTACAGGAACAAAGTGTAAGAGCACCCCAACCTCGTGCTACCCTGTCTTGGCCACAAGTCACCCTTTTTAGCCATTACACTGGTATATCTTTACCAGTGGAGCTGCTCTACCAACAGTGTGTTCCATCGGTGCATCTAAGGTGCTTTCCCATTTATGGCAGTGGGGTATCTAGTGTAGTGTACTGGGATTGCTGCTAATACCTACAACCTAGCTTTTCATACTACAGTGCCCATCACCCCAAAGCTGCATGGTCAGTTCCGGGAATGAGTGGAGCCTGGGTCTGACGTATCCGGAGGGCAGCAAGTTGGCAAAGCCTGCTAGTAGAGCCGAAGTATTGGCCTGCACTCTACCTTTTCCTTCCTAAATAGCAGGAAATAAAAGCAGACTCTCAACAGCCAGCAATTTTTGTCATTCTTTTACACTGACCGAATGATTTCTGCCATCAGATTTGCATTTCAGTCCAAAATATGTTATGGAAATATAATTAGAAACGGGAGTTCAGATTGATGGGATACAAGATTTCCCAGAGGAACCCTTGTGAACAAACATCTCTCGTCAAAATAGGAACTAAAATCCTGAACTAAGAGGAGGGAAATAATGTTCTTCTGGAAGTGTTTTCCTGTGATCATTGTGTTTCTTCAGCTTTCTGATATATCTTCATCCTGTGGGTAACCCTCATGTTCATGAAAGCACATACGTAACATCAAGCCATCTTAAGTTGTCTTTCAGACACTCACAATAGACTTTCATCCTGATGTTTGCTACTGGATAGATTTCAGCTGGCATTGAGACAAGGGTAGGAATTTTGACTTCCAGCCTGATGTTAGTAGTTCTGCTAATGCTGATTTTCTGTATGGGAAGGCCCATACTGAGTGGCATTTCCTGTGGATGCAGCCTTCTTTGTTTGTTTTTAACTTCAATCTATAAAAACATTTTATGCATAATACACAGCTTGGCTGATTCATTTGCAATACCAAAAAATCAGTACAGGTTGCTTGTGGTGGCCACAGCATGACACTATGGCAAAAATTCAGGAAGCAGGTACAAACTTGTAGATCATGTGAGGGTTCAGTCTTATGTGAGTGTAGATAGAAAAATCATGTGTATGTTTAGATGAGTTTAGGTTTCACCCTAGTTTAATTTGAAGGGGGAAAGGTGCAGGGATGGATTCCTGTGAGCATTGCACCCCAAGGATCGTCTCACCCCTGGGATTGTCTCTTCTCTTGCTTATGACTGATTCAGTCAATGCTGGCCTCCACCTGAAAGCCTTGTAGGGTTTCTATTTTTGATTCTGGACGAGTACCTGTGCTTTTAAAAATAGACTAATGTAAAGAAATCCAGCAGTGCATGTGTGTTGATGGAGGTGTTAAGAGCATCCTTAATTAGCAGGAACCTCTTCCACTGCTTAGTCAGGATTCTTGCTGTTTCATACCTGCAGGAGGTAGGGATTTGTTTGTGCAGGGTACAGTGCTTTCCTTGAAATATTTGCCACTGGCTGGTCCATTTGTAAATGCCTGGTAATGTGTGTCTGTTTGCTTGAAGAGTTAATATACTTAACCCTTGACTACTGGAGCCAAACCTTTGTCCTTTGATGGCCTCTGCTCTTCACCCCCACCCCCTTCTCTGCTCTTGTTTAAATAAATACTCTGCCTTTTTTCCTCTTGGAAGTAACCCACAGCCCCCATTTTTATCCTCACAGCAGCATCCTACCCTGTGAGGTGGGTCAGGTTCGGAGGAGTGACTGACGAGCCCCAAGTCACCCAGTGAACTTCATGGCTGAGTGGGGACTAGAGCATGAATCTCCCGGGGCCCTTGTCCAGCTCCCTAACCACCGTGCCACCCTCTTGTTCCTACAGTTTTTAAAAAATTTGAAGCCAAGTAACAGGGGGAATCACATAGGCAGTTTGCCATAGGCACATGAGAATAAAGAATGGATCAAATGGGTCAAATGGATTAAGATGACACAACACAAAAATAACTTTGCGGACAGGCAAACGTTAGCGTATCT